ATTTCCTACTAAATGAAATGTCCCCTTCTCTGTGGGGTCTTCTCTGGTTCTCCAAGGTAAACTTAGTCACTCTCTACTTAGAGCAACCAGAACAATTTCTTCAGATTATAAAATCTCATCTCTCCCATGGTATGAGTCTTCCTGTCTCCCTCACTTGACTCCTTTGGAGATCTTTTAGGTGAGTTTTTCTTTCATAGTAGTCAGGGTACAATGCTTTGGAGGATTTTTGTTGAGGGTTTTTTTGTTTGTTTGTGGGTTTTTGTGGTGTGACCTGATTGATGCCTTCAGTCATTCCTCCGATAAATATTTACCGATACTTACTCTGTGCTATGTGCTATGCCAGATAGTTCATAATAAATCAGAATAAGACAATAGAAAAGGTTTACCAACAAGGTCCTAGAACTCCTGGGAACTCACATGGGCGCTTGGAAAGAATGTGTTTTCTTTTTTTTTTTTTTTTTTTTTTTTTTTGTTTGTTTTTTTATCCTCATCCGAGGACATTTTTCCATTCTTTGTACAGACAGAGTGGGAGGGAGAGAGAGGAAGAGAGAGAGAGGGAAACATCGATGTGAAAGGGACACATCGAGTGGCCGCCACCCGCACGACCAACCAGGGCCGGGGACAAACTGCAACCGAGGTACATGCCCTCAGCGGGAACCGAACCCGGGTCTCTCCGGACCGCAGGCGGACGCTCTAACCGCTGAGCCAAACCGGCCAGGGCAGAATGTGTTTTCTTTATACAATATCAGGCAAGCATTTGCAACTTGTTTTTTTTTTTTTTTAAATCTTTATTGTTGAATGTAAAATGTATTACAGATGTTCCACATTTTTCCCCCATTGACCCCCTCCTTCCCACTCCCGCCCCCCTCCCGCTTTTTCCCACACTATTGTCTGTGTCCATTGGTTATGCATATAAGTTCTTTGGTTTATTTCTTCCCACCACCCCCCACCCCTTTCCTTTTGAGGTTTGTCAGTCTAGCAATGAATTTCTACTTCTTAACCCCTTCACCTTTTCACCCATTCTCCCAACCCCCTCCCATCTGGCAACCAACAAAATGTTCTCTGTATCTATGAGAATGTTTCTGTTCTACCTGTTCATTTTGTTTGTAGATTCCATTGTTGATAGATATGTATTCATTGCCATTTTGTTTGTTCATATATTTTATCTTTTTCTTCAAAAAGACCCTTCATCATTTCATATAATAACGGTTTGGTGGTGATGAACTCCTTTAACTTTTTCTTGTCTGGGAAAGTCTTTATATGGCCATCGATTCTAAATGACAGCTTTGCAGGATAGAGTAATCTTGGTTGTAGGTTGTTGCTTTTCATCACTCTGAATATTTCTTGCCACTCCCTTCTGGCCTGCAAAGTTTCTTTTGAGAAATCAGCTGGCTGCCTTATTGGGAACTCCCTTGTAGGTAACTAGCTGCCTTTCTCTTGCTGCTTTTAAGATTCTCTCTTTGTCTTGAACCTTTTGCATTTTGATGATGATGTGTCTTGGTGTGGGCCTCTTGGGGTTCATCTTGTTTGGGACTCTCTGTGCTTCCTGGACTTGTGTGTCTGTTTCCTTCACCAAGTTAGGAAGTTTTCTGCCATTATTGTTTCAAACAGGTTTTCGATTTCTTGTTCTCTCCTCCTTCTGGCACCCCCAAGAAGCGAATGTTGGCACGCTTGAAGTTGCCCCAGAGGCTCCTTACACTATCCTCATTTTTTTGGATTCTTTTTTCTTTTTGCTGTCCTGATTGGGCATTTTTTGCTTCCTTATATTCAAAATCGATGGTTTGCTCCTTGGATTTACGTACTCTATTATATTACGTACTCTAAAGCTGTGTAAATTATTCTTTATTTCAGTTAATGCCTCCTTCAATTCTAACTGTGCATCCATGATTTCTGACTGGTCCTTTTTTATGCTCTTGAGGCCCTCACTAAGTTCACTGAGGTTCTCACTGAGTTCATTGAGCATCCTTATAAGCAGTATTTTGAACTCAGCATCTGTTAGGTTGCTTATCTCCATTTCGCTTAGTTCATTTCTTGGGGTTTTGTTCTGTTCTTTCATTTGGGACCTGTTTCTTTGTCTCCTCATTTTGGCTGCCTCCCTGTGTTTGTTTCAGTGTATTACTTAACGAGAGGTATGGAGCTCGCTGAGACCAGATGCTGCTCGTTTGAAAGAATTTAGGAAAAACCTGAAGCAGGATCCAAGACAGGCCAATCCTATGCTTAAGCAACTGGCAACAGCTTGGGTGGGCCTGAAAGTTGGGTGGGGCGGGGCCTCAGGGAGTCAGCAGGGCGGGGCTACCAGTGTGAGCCAGGTGGCTGGAGTCCCAGATATGGCTTCTGTCTGCCGCCCAGGGAAGGGCTCACCAAAGGAACAAAGGCCTCCGACAGCACGTTGTCCCGGAGAAAGCCCCCTCTCCAGCCCTCGCTCCAGTGCCAAACAGCTCAGTTCTTCCCTGTGTGTCTCTGGTGCCCCTCGAGCTGCCTCCCCTCCGAGCTTAGAGGGAGAGAGTCCGACAAGTCCGTGCGCGGGCCCTTTAAGGAGCTGCCTGGGGCTCCAGCCGCCTCAGCCTCCCTGAGCCTCAGTTCCCGCTGGTTTTTCCAGCCAGAAGTTATGGGGATTCTCTTCCTGGCACTGGCACCCTGAGCGGGGCACCTGGTGTGGGACGGGGACCCCTCAGTCCTCAGGGAGGACCTTCCCAGCCGTGGGAGCCTCCTCATTTTTATCCGCCACACGTGGGTGTGGGACCAGCCGGTCTGCCTCCGCCCCTCCTGTTAGTCTGGATGTGGCTGCTGCTTTAATTCCGTAGTTGTAGGACTTCCATTCAGCTTGATTTCAGGCGGTTTTGAATGATGGTTGTTCTGTAGTTTAGTTGTAACTTTGATGTGGTTGTGGGAGGACGGATACCGCGTTTACCTACCCGCCATCTTGACCCCCTACTGCACCTTGTATTTTTTAAATCTGCTATAACTTTACGTGTATTTTTGGTATATTTTACATGTCATAGCTTGATGGCAGCATACTAAAGTCTCCTACTGTAATTGCATTTCTGTTTATTTTATTCCATTTTTGCTTCACATTTTTCCAACAAAATAGGATTGCAAGATTAAAAATAAAAGAATGAGCCCTGGCCGGTTTGGCTCAGCGGTTGGAGCGTCGGCCTGCGGTCCAGAGAGACCCGGGTTCGGTTCCCGCTAAGGGCACGTACCTCGGTTGCAGTTTGTCCCTGGCCCTGGTCGGTCGTGCAGGTGGCAGCCACTCGATGTGTCCCTTCACATGGATGTTTCTCTCTCTCTCTCTTCCTCTCTCTCCCTCTAGCTCTATCTGAACAAAAAATGAAAAAATGTCCTCGGGTGAGGATAAAAACAAAAAAAGAATGAGCAAAGGTAAATCAAGGAACTACAAATCTAAAGAAAGAAACAATATTAGCCCAGCTTGTGTAGCTCAGTGGATTTAGCATCATCCCATGGACTGAGAGATCCTGATTCAATTCCCAATCAGGGCACATGCCTGGGTTTCAGGCTCAGTCCCCAGTAGGGGGCGTTCAGGAGGCAGTCAGTTGATGTTTCTGTCTCCCTCTCCCTCTCTATAAATATCAGTAAATATATATTTTTTTTAAGTATAAAATATATTATAAAGTAAGAATAAATTTTTCAAGTGGAGAATGTGCAGGCAGGAAAGAAGGTAATTGTGGGCAAAGGTAAGTTTGTGTGGCCCAGGAAGATTCCTCCTGGAAAGCCCAGTCATTTAGAATTTATTTCCTAAAGAAGCAGCAGGGCTTGTTGGTATGTCCTACAGTTGGGGGACCATCCTGGATGGTTTGGGCTTGAAGAGAGAGTAATGGCAGTGGGGCTGCCTGCTCTGTTGTAATCATTGCAGGTGAGGAACAGCAGGTTAAAGATATGAAGTCAGTCTGTGTGACTGCAGAGCCCAGGCTTTTCCCAGGGCACCACACTGCTTTCTGATAGCAGTGACTGGGCAGGTACCCCAGGAACCCATCTTATGTGCTACTCAGAAGAGATCAGCTGTTGCTGTAAATGCCAAGTTTCTGAAGTCTTACAAAAGTCCAGTGATTATGAACATTGTCTTGTCCCTTCAGGGAGCTAAGGACTAGACTTTGTACTGATATATTAGTATATTTTCATCTCTCTCTGTTCCTCTTTCTGCTTAGATGCTTAGAGCAATAAGGCATATTCAGTTCATGAAATTCAATTCAAATATTCATCAATGAGTACTTATTCATTTAATTGGTGGGTTTTCTATCGTAGAGAATGGCTCCATCATCTAGCCATCTGTCCGAGCCAGAATTATAGGAATCTTGGACTCTTCCCTTTTCTTGACCCCTTCTCATAAACTCCATTACCAAATTCTATGGATTTATCTCTTTAATTGTTCTTTGTCCCCTGGCCCCATCTACCTTCTCAGCCAGTGTCACAGATTACTACCGTCTCCCAACTGCTATCTATGCCTCTTGTCTCTTACTCTCTGAGACAGTCAGTATCAAACTAGTCAGTATCTCTCTCCTGCTGACAGTCCTTAAGCATTGTCCTATATTTTCAAGGTGAAGGTCCAAATCCCTCAATGGTGTGTTCGAGACTCTTCATGATTTGTTCTGCTTTTTAATCTTGCTTCCTGTCACTGTAAACCTGCTTAGCTCCAGCTTTATCGAACCTGACACATCATGTTGAACTCTACAGCTCTATGCCTTCACTCATACTGTTGATGTTTTTCAGGATGCCCTTCCTCACTCTTCCACTCATAGCCCTCTTCTGTGCTCTTACAGCACCCTGTGCATTCCTCTGTCTTGGTACTTAGCGCACTCTCCTGTCCTTGTTGGTGTACATGCCTGTTTTCTCTACTATCTAGACTGCAAATAATCAAAGGTGGAGATTCTTTTACTTTATTTCATTAGAATCACCAAAACCTAGCTTAGGATCTGGCCCATGATTGGTTTCTTTGCTTAAATGAGCTTTTATGACTTAATAATGATGTTTTTGTTTTCTAGGTACATGGTTCAGTGGCCTGGAGGTCGAATCCTGCATCGCCATGAGTTAGACACCTTCCTTGCACAGGCAGTATCTGCCCAGCTTTATGAACCAGATCAACTTCAAGAACTCAAGGTAATTTGATCCATCCTCATTTAAATTCTTTCTTTTATGCCTACATAGCTTTACTTTAGGTGTTTTTTTTTCCTGGAGCTGGGGAGAAGAGTAAGTTCTACAGGTAAATGCTTGATTTACTTTAGCCAAATAGTATGTCTATAAAATCAAGTGGTGCCTGTAACACCACTTGGCATACTGATGGGTGACCGTGGACAGAGCAGATGGATATTATGCAAGACAAATAAGTTTTGGCCCATTGACCATGGTAAAGTTTCTGACTCTTCAAGATACACTTCAGGGACTTATCCTGGTGTCCCCTTATTATCTTTGAGTAAATGTCCACCTTTCCCCTCCTTTCTTCCAATTTTATTGAGATATAATTGACATATAGCACTATGTAAGTTTAGGTTATACAGCACAATGATATATATATCATGCAGTAATTATGACAATAATTGTGACAATTATGACAAGAATAAACTGTTTCATGTACTCACAACTGTAAACCTCCTTTTTCCCACCCCTGTATTTTTCCTTGTGATGAGAACTCCTATGATTTTTTAATAAACATGTTTTTTAAAAAGCATGTTTTTATTGATTTTTTTTGGGGGGGGGAGAGATAGAAACATCAATGTGAGAGAGAAACATTGATTGTCTGCCTCCTGCATGCTCCCTACAGGGGACCAAGCCCGAAACCCAGGCATGTGCCCTGACAGGGAATCGAACCGGCAACCTCTTGGTGTATGTGTCAATACTCAACCACTGAGTCACACTAGCCGGGCGATTTACTCTCTTAACTTTCCCGTGTCTCATACTGCAGTGTTGGCTATAGTCATCCTGTTATACATTATGTCCCTAGTTTTTTGTTTTAAGTTTTTTTTCTTTATCGACCTTAGAGAGGAAGGGAGAGAGAAGGAGAGAGAGACAGAAACATTGGTGAGAGAGAACATTGACTGGCCACCTCCTGCATGTCCCCCACTGGGGATCAGGCCCACAACCTGGGCATGTGCCCTGACAGGGAATCGAACCCGCGACCTCTTGGTGTATGGGTCGATGCTCAACCACTGAGCCACACCGGCCGGACTCCCTAGTTTCAATTTATCTTATGGGCCTGGCTGGTGTGGCTCAGTGGTTGAGCATCGACCCATGCACCAAGAGGTCCCCGGTTTGATTCCCGGTCCGGCCTGATCCCCAGTGGGGGGCGTGCAAGAGGCAGCCAATCAGTATTCTCTTTCAATTTATCTTATGACTGGAAGTTTATGCCTTTGACCACTTCTATCCAATCCCCCGCCCCCCCACCTCTGATAATCTCAAATCTGATTTTTTTTTCTGTGACTATGGTTGGGATTTTGGTGGGGGGGGGTTGTTTTTTAGATTCCACATATAAATGAGATCCTATAGTATTTTTCTTTTCTGACTTAACTTCACATAGCATAATACCCTCAAGGTCCGTCCATATTGTCTCAAATGGCAGGATTTCCTTCTTTCTCGAGACTGAATACTATCCATTGTATACATACAAGCACAAGAAAGAAAATAAATCCACCCTGTAACTGAAGATAGTAGAATATAGTAGGTTAGGGGACAGGCTCTAAAACCTGGCTTCTTAGCTGTGTGACCTTGGGCAGGTTGTTTAACCCTCTCTATGTCTAGTTTCCTTACTTGTTGGTTTATGAGGATATTAAATAAAATACTAGATGCGAAACAATTAGAATGGGGCCCGAGATGCTCAATACATTTTAGCTATTAATGCAGGACACCCCTCCCCAATTTCCAGTAGCCATGGACCTTTGAGGACCCAGGATAAACTAGAGGAAGATCAAGTCCAATAAGACTTGCAAAATGTAATGTAAGTGAAGTCAACTAAGGGAAAGATGAAACAGGCTAAGACAAACAATGCATGGTTTCCTTTTACTGTAAATGTAATATCGCTTGGCCCTATAACAGTTACCAACTCCAGGCCACACCTAGGAGGGGACCTGCAAGTATGTCTCCTTTTCCTATTAAAGCCATCTAAGCACACCGACTTGAGGTAACCACTGTGGAAATTTTGATAGTTTCTTCCAGTCTTTCATCATGCATTTTTTACATAACGGAGATACTGTTTATGTTATATATTGTTTGTTTGTTTTTTTACTTAATATATATTTTCAGTCTTAAAATTTTAGTAAATAATATTTTATCATAATGTTAGCCATTTGGTTTCCAGTTTTCCCCTGTTATATATATTACAATGAACATTTTTATGCATAGAGCTTTATTCACATCCTTACTTCCTTAAAATAGACTCCTATAAGTAGAAGTTCTGAGTCAACAAATATGAACATTTTCATAGTTCTTGATACATGTTGCTGAATTGTAATATACATTCTTCATCAGCTTTTTATGAACATGCCTATTTATTTCATGTTTAGCATCCTCATCAGCTTTGGGTGTTCTTTTGGTCTTTAGTTTTTTTCTAATTTGACAAGCTGAAAAACCTGGTATCACATTGGTTCATCAATTTCAAAGCTGATGCCTTTTTTTTTTTTTTTTTTTTTTTTGTAATGAGTGTCTTTTAGACTGTCTCAGGGAAAGATGTGGATAGAAGCTGCTTATGCAGTCAAATGTTTGTACTAAAAGTAACATGTTCAGATTCAACTGGAATAGGCAGCATAACAGTAATAAGAGTAAATGTAACCAGTAACATTAATTTCCTAATAGTAGTTTTTCCTTTGTGGTGGTTTCAGATTGAGAAACTGGATGCCCGAGGAATCCAGCTTGCTGCCCTCTTCATGAGTGGGGTTGACACAGCTCTGTTTGCTAATGATGCCTGTGGCCAGCCAGTCCCTTGGGAGCACTGCTGCCCCTGGATTTACTTCGACGGCAAGCTGTTCCAGAGCAAACTAATTAAAGCAGGCCGAGAGCGAGTATCCCTGGTGGAGCTCTGTGATGGCCAGGTACCAGCATGTTGGGCAGCAGCTATGAGCCATCTCTGATCTGCTGTGGGGATGAATGCGCGGGCAGTGGAGTAGAGCAGAGACATTGGGAAGGAGGTAGTAAAAGTGGGAGAATGTGTCTGACCTTGACCTAATTTGGTCAGTGATAGTCCCAAAGTCTCAGAGTCTGATGTGCATGTTATAAAATCATATGCTGGAAAACTTTTTTTCTTATGAGCTTCATGTTTTCATATTACTTTCTTACTCTGAGTATTTTTTTCCTATATAATACTCAGATATACTGTATGTCTTTCCTCCAATTCTTAGAATTTCATCTCCCTTGTTTAGAAAACCTATGTCACTTTTGCAAGTGATGATATTTTTTTGTAAAGGAACTATGTTTAGAAATAAGAGTGTAGTGAAAGTAGATAGATAGAGTAGAAGCAGGGTTTGTATTTTTGTTTGTTTGTTTTTTGCAATGAAACTTTGGGAAAGATGAGGGGAGGCAAGGGAAACGAACCCTTACTTACTCCTTTATCCATTTGGGGGGCTTGAGCTGAAGGACTAGAGCAGAGGTTGGCAAAATACTCCAAATTCCAAATATTGGAGTTTTTATTTTCATAAAGTTTTTTGTTTTTATCCTCACCCAATGATATTTTTCCATTGATTTTTAGATAGAGTGGGAGGGAGAGAGAGAAACATCAATTTGAGAGAGACTCATCGATTGTTTGCCTCCCGCACAAACCTAACCGGGCCTGGGAATCGAACCTGCAACCCAGGTACGTGCCCGTGGCTGGATTCGAACTCATGACCCTTTGGTCCACAGGCTGACACTCTAACCACTGAGCCAAACTGGTCAGGGCTATTTTTATAACATTTTATTAGAGCATAGCCACGTTCATTAGTTTATGGCAGAGTATAGAATAGTTGTAACCGAGACCAAATTCATCAACCTCTGGATAGAGGTATGGACTTATCCTGGACAGGTCAGGGTCTCTGATCCTGGGTATGGAGGAGAAGGTTGAAATGTTTTGTATATGTTAGAGTTTTGTTCTCTCTCTCACCTAATTCTGCTACCTCCTGCTTAAAAAATGACCTAGCCTATTGCTTACTATGTAATGGACCATTATTTAATACTTATTGTTATATCTGTCTTTCTTGACCTAGTCAATGTACCTCACAAGTTCTCAGTCAGAACTAGTATGATGGCAATGTGGTGTCGTATGAAAAGGGGGGGCTTTCGTACCAGACAGGCTTTCCTGAGTGTGTCACCTTGGCCACTTAACTCCAGGCATTGATTTTCTTAATGGGAATAGACTTGTGAGAGTGTACCTAGGGTGCCCAATAAATACTGTACCTGAAACATAGAAGTTCAAAGAATGGCAGCTGCTGTAATTATTCTGTTCCTCGTTTGAAGGCTGACCTGGCAACCAAAGTGGAAAAGATGAGACAGAGTATCCTTGAAGGAGTCAACATGAACCATCCACCGCCTTCTGCTCTACTTTCATCACCTACTTTTGTGCCTCCCATGGTGCCCTCTCTCTATCCTGTTTCATTTTATTCCCGAGCCATGGGCTCAGTGCCACCTCCCCCTCAAGGAAGGAGCCGGGGGTTTGCAGGTCAGTACCTAAGAATGAAGTATTTGTCATCCTCAATCTATTTCATACTAACCAATCCAGTAAATATTGCCATTTACAAAATTAGCGTTGCCACACATATATTATCTCATTTACCATCTGTGCTGTGCTGCGATAGTTTGAAGAGCAGCTTATTGAGATAGAGGGCTGTAGCCTGGGGAATAAAGTCCACTGACTCCCCAGACCACTCTTCATAGAGGTGGTTGATCTCTAAGAATTTGAGTCGCCAACAAAACTCCTGAAGTAACTGATGCAGAAACCAGGAATCACTTAATGACCTATGAGAACTATAATTCATATGAACGGGACCTTCATGGTTGCTGGTTTGATCTCTCAGTCCTCATTAGGCAGATGTACAGAGGAGCACGCAGGTAGAGCAGTGAGAGGTAAGAATAAATGACCAGTGTCAGCAGATGACCGTAACATGATGTGCCCATTTCCACTCTGGAGGTAGATCTGATACATTTCCAGAAGCACAGAGAGAAGTAAGTTACCAATCAAGCCCTCCGGGGATTGTAGTTGAGTGGGGAAAAGAAAATACACACCCATACTCACAAACATGTATAAATTATTAAATTATGGTGACACCTGAGCTGCAGCTTAATGATGAATAGACTGTCATGCTTAGGTAGCTCAGATACTGATCCTGATCATGCAAATGACCTGTCCCCTGGTAAAATAGGATATTTTAATGGGGACATTTTAATATGAAATAAGGAGATTTTGTGATCAGCTAAGAAGTCTTTGCTGTGGTTCCTGTGGTTAAAGGTATTTTTTATCTATTGCTCATCACTAAAAATAAAGCTGGAATTGGAAGTTTGTGTTAAATTTAGGGTCATAGAATTCAGTATGGATGTTTAGCTTAAGGCTCTGCATTGATGAGCAGTGCATTGTCTGCTCTGGGAACTCCCTGTTCAGTGACGGAATGATCAAGTCCTACAAACCAGGGAGCCAAACATTCATTTCATCCTTTGAAGGTGACAGTAGGGCTTTCCACTCTTATTCTTTGCTTGTTGATTTTATTGTGTCTCAGAAGACAGAATTAATGCCAGGTTCTCGGGAGGTTCGTGCCATTGCCCCAGGTCCCAGTGATGCTTGGTCTCCAGTTACAAGTGGTTCATGAGCCTCCTAAAAGGCCACAAGATCCCCCAAATGCAGGTCTTTCTTGCTTTCTTAGGACTAGCTAGCACCCTAGTCCCTTAGATTCCCACTCTCATGTAAATGGAGGGCTCTTTACTCATGACTTGCTAAATGAGCGAAAGGTTATTAACATTTGAATTTTCTACATAAACTAATGTTTAAGGTTTACTAGAACGCTGTTCTATGAAGGATTCCTTTTGTGCCAGATTACAGAGATCTACTGGGCCTGTGAGCTCACACACACGGAGTTGGAATTTCCTGTTTTAAGGAGATATGTATGCTGTCTTGTCTTGTATTCATTCTGGTCTTCAACTGTTGCTATTCTTGTTTTGTAGAGATAAATTAGTGTTAATTTGGTTTCATTATTTTCTGTTTCATTTGGTTGCTTGGCTAATCCTCCAGGGGGTAGTGATACATATTTAAATCAAAAGTGGTTTTGGCCTATAATTTTCCTATAATTAGATTATAAGACATTCCCTCAACAAATATTGAATGCCTACTATGTGCCAGGCTCTGTAGTTGAAAAATGAATCATCCACAGTCCACATGCTAAAGTGGATGTGTACAGATCTTCAACGCCCTGTCCTTAAATTTGCTTCCATCATGACCCTTTGTCATTTTCACGTAGTCTTTATTATAGAGAGATGGAAATAAGCCAGGTAGGTGGACTGTAGGGTCTTTTGTTCCACCTCTTATTCTACCTTGCACTTATCGCTCATTACTGCCATTCTTCTTCTCTCTCTAGGTCTCCATCCAATCCCACCCCAAGGAGGAAAACTGGAGATTGCTGGGATGGTTGTGGGCCAGTGGGCTGGCAGCAGACCCTCCAGGGGCCGAGGCTCCTTTGGCATGCAAGTGGTTTCTGTTGGTGGGCCAGGAAAGGGGTATGTATTTGAATAGGTTTTTATGAGCTAGTGTCAATCAAGGGACCCTTAGGGAAATGCCCAGCTATTGAATCTTTCTACTAAGGTGAAAGGCATTAATTACCTTCCCATTTTTTTAAAAATATTTTTTATTAATTTTTAGAGAGAGAGAAAAGGAGGAGAAAGAGATAGAAATATCAATCGACTGCCTCCTGCACATACCCCACTGGGGCCCGAGCCCGCAACCCAGGCATGTGCCCCAACCGGGAATGGAACCGGAACCTCTCAGTCCATGGGACGACACTCATTCCACTGAGCCACACAGGCCGGGCATAACTTCTTATTTTTAAAGCCAGTTTTCAGTTTAGTTTGGGAAACATACTAAATGCCCTGACTTGATGAAAAAGTTTTTGCCCCTAGAGGAGGACCTGGGACACAGAACAATTTAGTATAATATAAAAACGAAGGTGATAGAGATTTACAGTGGTAGCATAGAGGAGGGGCATCTAACTTAACGAGGGTCAAACTTCTAAGAGGAGGTGAATTGTTAACTCTGTGAAAATGGGGGTATGGGCTTTATTGTTCATCATGATCACTTTTCCCTTCACTTTCTAAAGGCATGGAAAAGAACCGACTGGTAGAGGATCCAAAGGACCTAAAAAAGGAAATAAACAAGTAAGCACCTTTTTTTTAGATTATTTAGCTTCTGTTTAATGCCTCTTATCTTTTCGGCTGACTTGCAAGAGGTCAGATTAGGCATGGAAGCTGGGACCTTTCACAGCTCCTCCTGGCATTTGATTTCATCCCCCAGTTCTCTAGCTTCCTAGTGAGGGTTAGACTGCCCAGGCTCTTTCCACAGGGCTGCAGAGTGTCCTCCTCCTCACTGAGTGAGGCCACAAGATGGAAACCAGGTACTGTGTCCTGAAGACCTTTAAGTAGCATAATATGTGCTGCATGCAGCCATAAGGGATCAGAGTGAAATTAACAGTGAGATTGCCAGCAATATGCCTGAGCTTCTCAGAGTTACCAGAGATGCATAGAAAATTGGGCTTTGGCCTTTGCTGAATATGCAAGGGAAGGAGTTGATACCATTCTGCTTATTCTTTTTTTTTTTTTTAATTTTTAGAGAGAGAGAAACAGCTATGAGAGAGAGTATCGATTGGCCGCCTCCTGCATGCTCCCCAACTGGGGATCGAGCCCACAACCTGGGCATGTGCCCTGACCAGGAATCGATCCGGTGACCTCTTGGTTCAGGAATCAATGCTCAACCACTGAGCCACACCAGCCGGGCTGGCCTGCTTATTCTTAATGGCTTAGAATGATCTTAAACTTTCTTCTAATCTATACTTGTAATTATATAAGAGCCCCTGCTGATTTTTGTTAGACTTTGCCCACCCTCCAATAGGAAGGCCTATTCTAGTAGTGATTCAAAGTCTTATATTGGATGCATACTGCTGGGCTCCTCATAGTATAGCAGCTCTCATTTCTTGAGTGCATACTTTTCTTTTTATTTTTTATTTTTATTGATTTTATTAGAGAGAGAGAAACATCGATGTGAGAGAGATACATTGATCAGCTTCCTCCTGCACACCCCCTACTGGGGATTGAGCCCTGGGCATGTGACCTGATAGGGTTTCAAACCGGGACCTCTCAGTCCATGGGAGGATGCTCAACCACTGAGCCACAGTGGCCGGGCCTTGAGTGCATACTTGCTACCAAGCTCTCTACGAAACATTTTACATGCAGTCTCTGATTCTCACAAGGGTTACTGACTAGACCATGTGTAAGGCAAAGTAAGGCAACATTATTGTCAGTTCTCAGTCTCAAATCAGGTGTTCTGTATATAGACAGCCCTCATTGTATCCATGTTAACCCCCATTGTCTAATGTTTTCTTAAAGAATACAGATTTGCTTTAGTGTTACTTTGAGCCAAAAGTGGAACAAGAATGGTAAGCCCCCACACACAAAACATTTTGTAATGCACTCCAAAGCCAGTCCAAAGCCAGAGAGCAATAACTGGGATTTTTCCAAAGCTTCTAAACTGTTTCCAGAAGTTGTTCCATAAGGTAAAGGGGATTATGCCTAGAAGGAAACTGGTCCCTAGGATAGGCTCCCCATAATACAGCTTTAGGGAATTGACCATGGTTCAGGGTCTGATTGTTAGGTATGTAGTCTGAAAAGCCTCTTTTTTTGTTTTGTTAATCCTCACCGGAGGCTATTTTTCCACTGATTTTTAGATAGAATGGAAGGGAACGAGGGAGGGAGAGAGAGAAACACCCATGTGAACGAGACACATCAGTTGATTGCCTCCTGCACAACCCTGGCTTGAGCTGGGGATTGAACCTGCAAGCCAGGTTCGTGCCCTTGACGGGGAATTGAACCCATGACTCTTTGGTCCATGGGCCAATGTTCTAACCACTGGGCAAACCAACCAGGGTAAACCTATTTTTGGTATAATAACAGTGGCTCACATTAACCAGGGTCACAGAAATATTATGTGGTTATGGCTAAAAGATTGGGGGGTTCGGAGCAAGAAAGGAGAGGGTGAAAGATAAAGTGACTTATGGTAAAAAGAAGCAATTACCATGATATATTATCTACTTACTCCATTCCAGTCAGTCTTACACTTTCATGTGAGGTATTTATTATTTCTTATTTTAAACAGGAGGAAACTGAGGCTCAGAGGAATGAAGCATCTTGTCCAAAATTATCCATCAAGTCAGTATCAGAGTTGACATTTCAGCCTGAGCTGACTGAAACCAAAGCCCTGTGCTGATTCCAACACAGTATAACCACTCGAATCGTTAGATACAAGAGTTAGACATAGGTCCGACTGATTCCACTGGCTGTGCTCTTAACCATGTCTACCAGAGCTTTCTCTCTCTTAAGTGCAAACTACAAGGGAGGCCAGGGTATCAGATGTTTGCTTGGGGACCTGAAATCAGAACAATCAGAGAAGCTGGCGTTTAGTGAGCTCTTTCAGTGCCAGCTACAACATATCTAAGTGCTTCACAGTGTGTGAGTGCCTCGTCGAACCCTTACAGGAACCTATGAAATAAATGCTATCATTCTGTTTCACAGGTGAGGAAACTGAGGGAAAACAAGGGATGGTAGGTCATGCTAAGCTTCTCTTGACTAAGATTGCTGGGGGCACTATTTTCTGCTCTAGAGGAAATCTTCGTACTGACTTTGTTTTTAGGTAAGGCATCTTCCCTGGGCAGAGCTGCTGCTGGTTGCCTTGCTAACCTTCCTTTTTCTGTTCGGTCACCTTTTCTTCACAGTGTGATATAATTTATTGTTCTAGCTTATTAAATCTGCTTACATTATAGGCCTGTCTTCAGAGTATTCTTAGGCCACTGGGGTTTTGTGTGTTTTCAAATTCTTAAGTCACTTATTTGTAGTGGTTTGCTTGCTGTGTTAGCTCCCATAGGTGGCTAATTCCATCTATTGTGTGGATTTTTACTAGTTTCATCTTATTTCCAGGTTCTGGAGCAACAGTTGACAGTAGCCCCCATGTTGTTCGTGCTTTGGAGCCAAATAATCTAGCTTTGAATCTAGCTCTGCCACTTACCAGTCCTGTGATCTTGGACAAGTTATTTAACCTCTCTGTGCCTTGGTTTTCTCATCTATAAAATGGATAAATGGGTATCTACCTCAGAGAGTTGTTATGAGTGTTTAATTAGATGATATACGTAAAATCTTTAGCACAGAGCCTGGAACATGGGAAGTGCTTGATAAAAATTAGTAGTTGTTATTTATAATTAACCACCAATTCAACAGGAATTAGATTTCCATAATGTATTATATCATGGTGGAAAGAACAAGGTCTTTGGAGTCAAATAGACTTGGATGCAAGTCTAGGCATGCCAGTGACCTTGAGCAAGTCATTTTACTTTTTGAGCCTTATTTGTCTTATATGTAAAATGAACAACAGAGCATCTGGCATGCTCAACCACTCAGTGATCAGGCTGTTATTATTTCCTAATAACATTCATTAAGAGCCAGCACCGCACTGCAAGGTAGTGCAGTCCATGTCATTAGCGTTTCAGTCAAGTCACATTCCTGGAATTACAAGAAAAACAGGTGATCTTTTTAGTTATGAAAGATTCTGAGGAATATTGCACATAGATCTCATGGTTTGTTTGCCTTTTCTTTCATTTACATGTCCAGCTGTCAGCACTGGACAGTATTGCATGGCGGTTCAGAGAATATACTTGAGAGGCTGGCTGACCTGGAATGGAATCCTGATCCCACCACTTTTTTTTTTTTTTAATAATTTTTTTCTGTTCTCTAATATTCAAAGGAATTTTCTCTACTTTTTTTTTTTTTTGCATTTATCTTTAGATAGAGTGGGAGGGAGACAGAGAGAGAAATATCGATGTGAGAGAGACTTCGACTGGCTGCCACCCACATGACCCTGGGGCCGGGGACAAACTGCAACCAAGGTACTTGCCCTTAGGAACCAAACCCAGGTCTCTGGTCCGCGGGCTGACGCTCTAACTGCTGAGCCAACTGGCCAGGTCGTGGTCCCACCACTTTTTATCTCTTTCTCTGGGTGTCCTTGAACAAGGTACTTTACTCTCTCTGAGCCACAGCTTCCTCGTCTGTAAGTGGAGCATGATCATATCTACCATCTAGGGTCCCCATTAGTATTAGAAAAAGATATCATAAAGCTTGTAAATGGTAGCTGTGTCATTATTGTGGTGCTGTCATTACCATTGGATTTCGGTCAGATCCAACTCTTGTCACCTTAAGTTCTCAGTACAGTATCAGAGTGTATTAGGTGTTAACAAGCTTTGGGCTCTCTGGCATCTTTGAAGACCTGAAGCAGCTTCTGCAGGCTAACTCATGGACATGCTTGGGAAGGGTCAGCCCGTTTGAGATTACCATTTTTACTGAGCATCTCTGTTTTTGATACAGGGCACTTCAGATGGAGTTTCTAAGTCCCTGGAGCCTCATCAAAGTCTGTCCCGCTCACAGGTAAATGGAAACAATGGCACATTGATCAAGGAAGAGAAGAGTGGTCATCATCTTCCAGCTGCATCACAGTGTGCCTTACCCAGAGACAGCAGCATGTGTAATCATGGTAGCCGCTACTTCCCTGTGAAGAATGGGGAGAAGAGCCGCTTGGGAGAGCAAAAGCTGGGGACTGTGGTACGACAGAAAGAGGAGTAAAAAGCTGCAGGTGGCTTTTCCAGATCAGGAAGGGAAAACATATACTTGTCTGATTTTAGGCTCAAGTTAGGGGATGCTATAAATGCCTTCCGTAGATTTATCCAGGATTTTGTTGGAATGTCCTACTGTATCTATCCTTTTCCCTTCCCCATCTTTTTCTGGGCCTCCAGACAAAGTGGTCTGCTTCTGGGGAAGCTTTGGTCAAACATGAATGGCAACAGGACTGGCTCCTATTGTCAAGTATAATATAAAATGCCAGTATCCTGTTACGTACCCTGGAGCCTAGTAAGGTAGTGACTGTCAGAAATTGGTGTCATCACATAAGGCCCTATATAGAAAAGTTCCAGCTTTGGTTTTTCTGAGTCTTCATCATGATACTCATTGTACAAAACCTGTGGGGTGGTAGGGACAGCTGCCTACATGGCTTCCTAACTTGCTTTTTGTTCTGTGGAGTAGTGGGGCCTTTGTACATAATCAGTATCCACCTCCTCGTCACTCTCCCCCACTCACCAGTTTGTACCGTTGCCTCTAGCACTGGCCTGACAATCAGACAGGTAGATGTTTTCAGGGAAGTGAGTTAGTATTGGTTGTTTTATTTTTTATTTTATTTTATACACTTAAAAAAAAAAACTACCAATGGCCTTTGTACTGGGGGATTCAAGTGAGTCAGAAAAGTACTGGGCAGATTTTTCCTGCCTCTGAACTAATGCGTTATTTGTAAAATAGAAGATGTGGTGCAGTTTGCCCACTCCCTACTGCCCATACCCTGAAAGGGTGGGAATCAGTGTAGCGAAACTGAGTATGAAAGGGAACGCAAAAGACCGTGTGTGTGTGTGTGTGTGTGTGTACACGTACGTGTGCGTGCATGGGTGCCTTTTGTGTATGGGTGTGTGTGTGGATGTATATATGAATGCGTGTATCTATATGCATACACGTACCCTTTATATAAAGAGACAGATCTATTTATCTATACATATTTTATATATAAATATATGTATATGTGTATGCACATATCTATGTATATACCTATATATAGATATATGCATGCATGCATACATACATGGTGATGTCCCAGAGGATTTACTGAATTTCCCAGAAATGCTTCCACTGCTGTGGAGTGGTGGGTTTCAAAAGACCATACTTTAAAATCCTTACTAAGTCACAGCCCATCACAATTATAAGAAGGTGGGCTTCTCTAAAGCAGACAAAAAGTACTTTCCAGAGATTGCCTGTTCAGAACAACAAACAGTTGGGTTGTCACAAGCTTAATCTTGAACTGAGCCCTCACATCCCATATGGTGAAAACAGAAGGTTGGAATGGGATTGGGGAGATTTGGGCATTTCCTCGTGAAGGAACAGCCTGGATCTTAGAGAGAGCGCAAGTGGGAGGTAATTACCAGGGCTTGCAGCCAATTTGAAGGAAGTCTCATCTGGAACTCCAGGATCAAACTGGCCTTCGGCTAGAATTGACTGCCCTGAATACCTGAAGGAGAGAGGGTAGCATTGAAAAGATGGGGTAGGGAAGTGTGAGGAAATTGACAATTTGATTTTGCACGCCTAGATTATTTCATTTGTTCATTGACATTTTGACTACTGGATCTTTTCATTTGCTTTGCAGGGAAGATTTCAGAGCACTCTGGCCTGGGCCCTTTAGGGGTATTCTGTAAAAGGTTCCCAGCCCTGGGTGAGGCCAGAATCTGCCTAGGACAAGGGGGTTATTTCTCCTTGTCAGAGACTCTTGAGACAACCTTGCATTTCCAGTTTCCCTCCTCAGCAGCCTAGGTCTGAGGGATGGGAACATGGCTTACTACAGATTAGCATTGTGTCTTCATTCAAGAACTGAGGCTTTCAGCCTCACACACCTCCTTTTGGGCTTTGTTGCCCCAAAAGAACCATTTCTACAGGAATTCAACTGACTAGACTTCTAGCAGGGTTCTCTCTCTTTTTGAAAAACCCCATGCACTTTAACCCACTGCAAGTCCTTGGTGATTTTTCCCCCAGACAACCAGAAGGCTATTTGCTCACTGCCCACTTACAATTAATATATCATGAAAAATGAAAATCAGTTTCAGACTGTTTAATCTTAGTCTGGCTCAGTTTAAGAGAACCTACAATTTTCAGGTTTGGGGGAAGCCCTAGAATGCCTCTCCCCCGACCCAGACACTTCTTCACATGAACCAAAGCAGGACGACAAGAGCGCACACCTAGCTGGATATAACCAGGAACAAACTGTACAAAAACCTCCTCTTTGGAATTGGCTCACCTAATTTGGTCTCCCCTCTTCTCTTGGGCCTGCCCAACCTTTAACAACACCTTAAAGGTTAGGACTTCTATGTCCAGCAGGAGAGGGATTTAGTAGTGAACTTAGATGGTTTGGAAATTTCTTTCTGGAGCCACAGAGGGAAGGAATCCTTAGGATTGTGAAAAGTAACCAGTGTCACTGAGTTGTGTTAAATTAAATCTATCATTTACTAATAGGAAGTACTTGAAGTTATATGGAAAGGTATTTTCTTCAGTTGCTGTTTCTGTGCATCTTGAATCTATTTGATACAATCAAATGACAGTATTGTTAACTCTCACAGCATAAAGGAGATTTCCTGTAGGCATTCACTGTGAGAAACACAATTGCTGCTTTGACGGGTGATTCCAGTTTGCCAAAAGGCTTGCTTTTCTCCCTTCCACAAACCTCTACTTTCTCCTAGCTTGGCCCAGGGTGAAACAAGTGGCTCCCTTCCAACCTTGATTTTTATTTAGATTCAGCATTTGGGGTTTGGAAGGTTGCAAAAACAAACTGTAAAGGGCCAGCCATACTCATATATTTTAATTTATCTGCCAAAATATACAATTTGGAAGCCAGAAAGACTAAGGTTCATTACTGGGAGATGAACGTTTTTTCTAATTGGAAGACAAATTGGGGAAGGCAGATCTTTGCTGTGAGTACCACTTGAAGAGATTGTCCTCCTTCACTTGAGGTTCCATTTCTGATGATGTGGCCTCTCTTGAACAGCCATATGGGAACCCCCAGAAATGACCCCTTTACCTTGTAGGGCCACAAGCAAAAGCTCCCTGGTTGGTTATAGACACTGATCCCCAAGGACTTGCAGTTCTTGATTTCTGCTGGTGTGCCTTGGGGTCAACCTATGACTCCCACCTTTATTGAGTAGCCAGTCTGGTCTGGACCAGGTCTGACAAACTTCTCACTTGCATTGTTTCATTCTGAGCTGGTAGGGCTTCGGGTAGACTATAAAGCCCAAGAAATGGCACTCGCTTTAGCTAGTGACATTTGATTTTTGTCTCCATCTTGATTTTCTGATATTGTTGGCCAAGTCACATTAACTTTTTTTGATCACTGAGAAAAACAGCCCAACAAGGCATTAGGGAGGATGGTTAAGGTGAGGGTGGGGAGCATTGCTTATGTAGGGTAGAAAGAATGTGGAAGTCACTGTTTGGTTATAGTGATCCAGCCCATTGGAACCATAGAAGGCTCCTCTAAGATCCCCCTCCTTTGAAATGACAATACCAATAGACCACAGGTTAAAGTAGTTAGTATAATTCTACTAAGGTTTAATCATTATACTTGTTCACTTCCTGATGCATATTTCCTAAATATGCTTGGGGTTTGGGGGCGGGGGGTAAGTTTTCACTGTTCCATTGTGTGTCACCCTATATTTTTCTCCCTCTTTGGCATTTTCTTTTATTTGACTTTCCCTTCTCTTTTTCCTTGGCTTATTGCAGTAGTCTGCTGGTGCAGGTAGAGCTCAGTGTACCTACCCCCTTGTTACTGATCATTATCTTCAGTATTGCCGGAGGTTGTTTTGATGTTCTAAGAAGATGATTTCATTTTTCACAAAATTATGTTTACCAAGTTAAAAGCAAAATAAAATACCCCTTGTGCTAGGGTGCCCATTTCAACTTTTGACATTGCCATTGTACTTCTGTAGATGCTCTTTCTGTCCGTGTTGGTAGTAACTAATGACTAGTGAATTTTCATGTAAATGAAGCAAATTAAACATTACAGATTTTCTTTCATAACCCTGCCAAATCTGATGACTTCATTTTAGTTACTTCCCAGAAGACACTTCCCCTCCCATCTTTTATTATGTTCTATTTTTAGAATAACATACTAGGTAAAGAAACTGTAACTGCAAGGAGTCAATGTATTTTGTGCTCCCTGAAAAATGATGTTATTGACAAAAGTAAGAAATTCTTTCATTGTTTTTTTTCCTGTGTTATCTCTTCTCCTGTGCTCTTGAAAGTGTGATTAGTGGATGGATAATATGTATTTCTCTTTCCCACTTCCAGATTCCAAATTCCCTGCCTTTTTGGCCCACCTCATCACAAAAGCTCCATAGTTTATTAATGTAAGTTTGAATGGATGCTTCTTAGGGGAAACTTCAGGAGTTAATGGAAGTGTTTCAGAAAGGAACGGAAATGTCTCAGGAGTTGTTCTGTGATGGAAATTGGTCTGTTGTTCTGTTAATGCGATGGAAAGAAACTTACAGTGCTTAATAAAGTTTATTCTTTTAGTAAAAAAAATTGTTAAATAATTTTGGGTGTGTGGAGTTTCATTTCTTCTGCTTCTGGATTCCTTTCTTCAAATGGCGGATATACTTGTCTCAATGCAGAAATGTCGCTCAGAGATTTGGAGCCTATTTGTAGATGAATATCAAGGCAAGAGCGCCGGTAAGAGAATCATCCAAAGGAGGGGCAGATAGGTCAGCAGATGTGGCTCAGTTGGTTGAGAGTAGACCCATGCACCAAGAGGTTGCCAGTTCGATACCCTGTTGGGTGATCCCCCAGTAAGGTGGGGGGCGTGCAGGAGGCAGCCAATCAATGTTTCTAATTCTCTCTCTCTCTAAAATCAATAGAAAAATTAAAAAAAAAAAAAAAAAAAAAAAGAATGGCAGCCCAGTCGGTGTGGCTCGGTGGTTGAGCGTCAATCCATGCACCAAGAGGTCACTAGTTTAATTCCCGGTCAGGACACATGCCCAGATTGTGGGCCCAATCCCCAGTGGGGGGCATGCAGGAGGCTTCCAATCGATGTTCTCTCTCATCGATGTTTCTATCCCTCTCCCTCTCCCTTACCCTTCCTCTCTAAAATCTAAAGAAAAAACATTTTTAAAGAAAGGGCTGGCCGGTTTGGAGAAACCTGCGTACCTCGGTTGCAGTTTGTCCCCGGTCCTGGTTAGTCATGCAGGTGGCAGCCACTCGATGTGTCCCTTTCACGTCGATATTTCTCTCTCTCTCCCTCTCCCTCCCACTCTATCTAAACAAAAAATGTCCTCGGATAAGGATAAAAAAAAAAATTTAAAAAGGGCCTATTTTGCTTCCTGCTAAACTTCCTTATTTGGATATTCTAAAGGCGGCTTTGACTGGACATTTTCTAAACTGAGCCCATCCTTGCTTCTGAAGCCTGTTCCTCTCCAAATGTGACACCACCTCCTACTCAGTTGTCTGAACCACAATCCAACGGAGTTATCCTAGACTTGTGCCTTTCCCTCATTTCTCAAATCATAACGAGATCTGTTAATAACACTCAACCATCTTTCAGTTTCTCACATCTGTATCTTTTCTGTTCCTGCTGCTGTGGCTTAGTTTAGGCCTCCTCATGTGTCACCTGGATTGTTGGT